AGGGAGCCCGACATGGGACTCAATCCCAGGACCCTGAGATCATGACCGGAGCGGAAGGCAGACCCTTAACTGAGACTCCCAGGCGCCCCACCTGTGTCTATTTCCTGCTTTCACTGGAAGAATTAACTGCACATGTCAGGAAAACACTTGTCCTATGAAGTGAAGCATGCCAACTGCACTAGCACAGGGGAGCCACGGTGAGGCCAATCGGGGAAAACCACAGTCCCCAGTTCCTGTCCTGGCCACAAATACCTGCGTGGGAGCAGGCCCACTCACCAAGATCCCCAGTCCTTCAGGCTTTATTTAGTGTTTAGGAACCAGAGAGCTTCGGGGCTCTATCTTCCACAGTCACACCCAAGGAATCTCTGCCACTCAGTGGCATTACATTTATGATGATAATGCCCCATATCATATACTAGCCCAGACCTCTCTTCCAATCCCAGACCCCACTATCCAGGTGCCCTCTCAATGAGACATCCAGAAGGCATCTCAAACTCAGGACACCCGAACTCAACTCATGACTAGCCTCCCCACCCCCACATCTCCCCTAACCCCTTCTCATTATTTTCCCTGCCCATTTAGCTTCCCAGGCCCAAAGCCTCAGAATCAACCTCTTCTCTCCTCCTCTCCAGAGTCATCACCAATTCCCGGTCATCCTACCTTTGAAATCGACCCAGAATCTGACCATTATATCGCCACCTGGGTGAACGCAGAAGGGCTGAATTCCTTCTGGAGGCTTCAAAGGAAAATCCATTTCCTTGTTTTTTTTGGCTTCCGAAGTCTGCCCACATTCTTTGCTCAAGGCCCCTTCCACATTGGACGTATCACTCCAACCTCTTGACTCTGTCATAACATCTGCGATCACTGTCTCTGGCCTTCCTGCCTCCCTCATCCTAAAACTCATTTGGTTACACTGGGCTCACCTCAGTAATCCAGGATAATCTCTGCACCTCAAGATTCTAAATCACGTCGGCAAAGTGCTTTTGGCCATGCAAGTTAACAAATGCTCAGCTTCTGGTGACTGGGATGAGGGCACCTGGGGGCCATTACTCAGCCTGCCAACACCACCTCACTCAGAGCAAAAGCCCAAGTCCTCATGATGCCCAGCAATTCCCATGTGATCTTGTCCCTATTTCCTAACTGAGCTCACCTCTTCCAACCCTCCCCTTGCTCACTGCATTCCAGCCATTGAGTCATGATGTTCCTTAAAATACATGGCCCATCTCAGGACCTTTGCACTTGCTGTTCCTACTACCAGGAAAGCTCCCTCCCTCATTTAGGTCTCTGCTTTAAATGACACCAACTTATGAGTGAGGCTTTCTCTGTTGACTCTATGTAACAGAGTAATATCCCCCCCCCTCCCATTGGGACACTCCTTTCCAAGCTAATTTTTTTTTGCAGAGCATTTATCATCTGATATGCTATCCATCCATCCACTCATCTGCCCTCCACTGCAGGATCACAGGGAAGTCCGTCCCTTGTCAGATCTCCAAGAAATAAGCATAAAGCTGGGGCCCAATAAACAGTTGATGAATAAGTGGATTTTACTTTAATAGAAAGTAAGTTCCTTGGAGACAAGAACTTAATGAATATCTGAATGAGAATGAAAAAATGAATGGGTGAATGACAGACCAGTTTGCATCTAATTATAGGCATATGGACCAACATCAAATCAAGGGCATTACTGTTTAGGAATCAGACACAACAGGTAAAGTAACTTATTCAGGGACTCACAGAAGTGAAGGAACATACTTACACAGAAAAAATTCCAGCCAAGCCCCTGACTTTATTCTGTTGTGTCCCTCAACATTTCAGACCTGACAAGTCACAAGTCATCTGGATACCCTTGCTTGGTTCAAATACTCTTACCAACAAGGCTTCAAGTTGTTAAGCTCCAAATTGATTTTTTAAAGGAAATGTCACCGGAATCTCAAAAGCAATTGCTTTGCTTATTTCAATACCTAAAAATATGAACGTACAGAAGAGAGACCCTCATCCACACATGAAGATATGCCCAGGAGCAAACCTGCAGCCAGGGGGATGCTGTAGGGACAGAGAGAACCCACCACAAGCTCATCAGTCCCCAGCATTGCTCGTCAGCCAGCCAGGGCAGCTCCAGAGGCTCACCTTAGCTACCGAGGACAAGTCAAACCAAAGACATTCCCACTGTGGCTGGACGGCTGCAGGATGGGGAGAACCCCAAGACAACGCAACCGCCTCAGCCCTGGGAACAGCAACTGTCACCGAGGGCATCCCTTCTGCATTTTGCAGTGTTATTACAGCCCTGCTGCTTACACACCAGCCCCGCTGGCCACGTGACTGCCACACTGTAGCAGCTCTTCTCCTGCCACTTGGGGAAGGGAGCCAGCACTGGGCTTTATTCACACTTGGAAACCGCTTTCTGGGAATCCTTTGGCTGGCAAAAATGGAAATGAGAACACTACCAGTGGTTAGGTATACTGACTCGGAAAATAGGCTGACAGGGTTCAAATCAAGCCTCTAGGACTTGATAGCTGTGCCCCTATGGCTGTCCCTAAGCTCCCGTCTTCTCACCTTTCAAAAGTAGGTTTACGAGTCTTATGACAATTACTAGAAATATAGAAAGAAAAGTACCTGTCACAGCGCTTTGGTACAGGAGGCCTTAATACATACTGGCTACTCTAACAGTGATTTTTATATTAATATTTATATTATTCTGGGTTCTAAAAAAGAAATCGCCATTCAAAAATAAAGAATACATATGTCTTTATCTTTAGTTTGTAACAGAAACTCCCAGGGGTTTATCATTTATTTCCAGCTAAGTATTCGCCTATAATTAGGGAAAGCTGCCACGAGGCAGATGTTGAGATTAAGCTTTCCTAGGTATGGCTTAAAAAATAAAATCATTTAGTGACTTTCTCAATTCTACTCTTGAATTAAAAAAATACATAATTTGTTATTGGAGAGTGTAACAGAAATGTTAGATAAATATGACTAGATGTTGTATTTAAATAGCATAAGTGACTTAAGATTTCAAAATATGTAAGTACATATGTAGGTGTTCACCCAGGTTTATTTTTTTAACAAAGTATCATCTGACAGAAATCTCTGAATAATGCCCTACATTGCGTCTTTGCTTGAAAAATGAAAATAAAATACGCTTTAAAAAATTTCTCCTAATCATAATAACCAAGGTAGCATGGAGTGAGCTTTTCCAAACTACATAAGAAATAGTCCTGGGGCACCTCCGTGGCTCAGTCAGTTAAAGTGTCCAACTCTTGATTTAAGCTCAGGTCAAGCTCTCAGGTTTGTGAGACTGAGCCCCACACTGGGCTCCACATACAACACAGAGTCTGCTTGAGATTCTCTCTCCTTCTTCCTCTATCCCTTCCCCCGCCCATATGTACACACAGGCGCACTCTCGCTCACTCTCTAATAAATAAAATTAAAAAAAAAAGAATTAGTCTCATACATGGAGAATCTGATTCAGTAGGTAAGGGAAGAAGTAGGTACCTGTATTCTGCAAAAGCCTCCCAAGTATTACTAACAGTAACCCCTACTATTAACAATCATTGTACAAATTTTCTTTTGACAAGGAGTTCTGTGTCTTACAACTTTTGCAAAGATCTTTTCTTTGTAGCCTCCTAATAAAGTGAGATGTGTCTACTTGTAAGTCCATGAAGAGAAGGGGCTGAGCTACTTTGCAGTCCTTGAAATCAGAACAAACTCCTCTAGACTTTTTACAACTATAAAGTTGCTGATGAGGATGGACTAAGGGGGGCTGAAACTTTGTTCCATGAAATCACGTGAATGCTTTTCCTTTAGACCAGGACTGCTCCACAGAACATTCTGGCTGACGGAAACGTTCTGTTCTTGTGTTTCCCAAGGGGTAACCATGAGCCACCACATGTGGCTCCTGAGCACTGGAAGTGTGGCTTGTGGCTTCTATACCTGGAAGGATTGCTCTGGCTGTGCATGGCCATCCCAACACCTTGCTGAGGCCCTCATTTCATTAACCCGTTCAGTAGTGATTCCATAAGCACCCCACCTCAAGCCTAGCACATGGCAAGCATGGGGCACAGGGCAGGGAGCAAATACAAAACCTCACCCTCCTCTCCTTGTGCTTACATTCCAATTAACAATAACTGGCACCACTCTTTCATATCACCAGACTCCTTTGAGGTACTTGCTCCAAAAACTCTGGGTTAAATGTGTTCTTTTTAAATTATGGTATCTTGAAGCAGAAAAGCCAATATTCATAGCCTGGGAAACAATACAGCTCAATGGAATGAAGAAGTGAGAGGATACAGAGAGTCTGTATGAGCAAAGAGAGGCAAATATATAAAACCTTTCCAGAGGGGTAGAATAATCCTCAGCCAGAGAGTAACAGGTTTGAACGATATGATACTTTTGAGGGAGGTCAGAAGCCCGCTCTGGCCCTGGTGAATGAGCAGGGAGAGGATTAGGAGGCATCCGCCACAGGAGCAGGACCAAGGGATTCCCAGCTGGAACCCGCTTAACAATTCCCCCTGGAAATGGAGTCAGAAGAGAACCAAAGGCATGACCAGAAAAGGTATTTCACGCAGCTGTAACAAATACTTTATGTAGTATGAGTTTTCAAGGGATTGAAAAAAATTAAAAGATTTTAAAAAAATAAAGAGTGATGGTTTGATTAGAACATTTTTAAGAATCATCAGCTGGCACACGAGGAGCCTCAGACAAGACCATTACTGCTCAGCTCAGGCTCTCCTCCCTGCCCCGGGCAGGGGCCACGCTGGCTGATCCTACATCAGCACTTTCTCCGAGCCTGGGTGCCATGTGGCTGCTGAACATGGCCACAGGACAGGTCAAGCCCCGAGCAGCTGAACCCTGGTCAAGGACAAATGCTCATAGACACGGTCAGAACAGGCACCTCAGTGGAGGCTGCTTGCCAAGAGGAGAGAGGGTTGTTCAGAATTGGCGCATGTGGATCATTGTTATTAATTAAACCCCGAATTGAGATCATTCGTCAGCAACCTTACCTAGTTCTGGGGGCAGAACGGTCAGGCGGTTCCCCTGAATGTGGAGTTCCTTAAGCTGAGTAAGCTCCCCGATTTCTTTAGGCAGCGAGATCAGGTCGTTATCCCTAAGGCTGAGCTAAATGTAAGAAAACAAGGAGTTGTCAGAACAGTGTTCACGTCAAGAGACGCTCAACAGAAACTCTCGTCCTTTTCCGTGCCCTCTCTCTCCTTTGAAGGCTCAATCCTTTCAATTTATTTACAAGTGCCTGCAGATGAACGAGAAGCAGGAGCAGGAGGAGTGGTTGATTCCTGCAAAACAAACCACACTCCTGCTCAAATTGACTTGATTCTACTCTTACAAGGGCTGCAGAAGTGAATTGATTTTCTAAGAATTTAGATAAATTACTTACTATCTGCAACTTTGTGAGCTTCCCAATATCTGGCGGCAGGATTTCAAAATCGTTGTCACTTAGATAGAGTGCACGCAGGGTGGCTGCAAATTAAACAGCAATATATAAACAGGGTGGCACGGAATCCAACCATTTGAGGTCTGATCAATACAAGGGAGTCAGCTTTGATTAATAACCCGGGCTTGGTGAAAAGCCTGTGACACACCTAGGGCTCACAATAATAAGAAGCAGGTCAAACTTAGATTTACTGGCTTATTGTGGGGCTGGTGTGTGCAGGAAAACATCTATATACAAGAGGACTGACACAATTAACAACTCTGGGCACCAGCAGTTTTTGGCACAGGGCTTCAAGACACTCTCAAAAATGATAGCGATATTTCTTCTATTATTTCTGATTCACATTCATGCTTTGCATCCGAAGCATAACCAAGAAAACCAGGGTCACCTGTATCAATGCTCAGGGCAAAAGAGCTGTTATTTAAATGCAAGTACGTTAAAAATAAATAATTAAAAGGCTTTCGGGTGAGGAAGACCATAATCACAGTTCATTGTTTCTGTAATCAGACTAATTATTATTACTTATTTCTATAGCCTTAGCAACAAAAATAAGTGAATACAAAAATAAGGAGCTAACATAATGACATGGAGTTTTAAAATAGAGAAACCTTAACTTAGAATATCAGAATTTTTCAAATCAGAAATTTGTTCACAATATCACACAGTGATAACATGACCCCCAAACTACGGAATGAGAAACTTCTAAGGCATCTTTTTAAATCCCTAACCAAACAGGAAAAGTATCATCAGATGTCTATTTTGTTTGCTTACAGGTATTCAATTACATTCTACTGTTTTAAAATGTGACACAACTCTATGTCAATATACACAGCAAAATTTCCTTCATGGCCCAGGAAAATATTTTAGAATTGGCTCCATGTGCTTGAGAAAGTCTGGGAGAGAGAATATGCATAAGGTTATAAAAGAAATTTTGGAGACAAGCTCAGAAAATGCAGAATCTCTGGATGCCATACGTGTCACTATTTGAAGAAACAGAATACTCATTTTAGGAAAGCAACTCTTTCCTAAATATTTCCTGAGTTCTGGGAAAAATCTATTTTTCCTCATTTTTAGGAGTATCTGCAGCCAAAAATTTGGTTGCATAGAATACAGGTGAAAAGATAAAGTCTGTTTATCTGTGAAAAACCATTTCTTGATGTTTGATTGCATACTACAGACAAAATAGACTACATCAATGAGAGTACCTTTTAAAAGACTTAAAACAAGAATCCTGCTTGGAAATGTCAAAAATTCTGTTACTGTTTATTAAGGGACATTTTTATAAATAATTGGTTGGAATATCTTTGGGGAAATAGTTTACAAAGAGTTAACAGCAACATGCGAGGACACATTCATTATTATATTTCTTTGGCATGCTCTTTAAAAAGAAAGTTAAGTTCTTGAGCTAAATGGGAGACTTGATCTCATTTAGGTACATAATCTCTATCCGGAAGTTAATATGACATTACTAAGTCCACTTGAGCGCAATGGTGTCAGGTAACTATATATCAAATATACATACTGCTGAGCTATGAAGGAATATTCAAAAGAAATGTGTGAAGAAAAAAATATATACGTCCAATAATTTCTCTTGGAGTTTGGGCCCTGGCAAATAAATTTCACTTTCGGAACGCAAAGTACCATTTTAAGGAGATTTATAGAATTAAAAGTTTCTTACTAAGGTAGAAGAAGTTTCCGGGAAGAGAATTTTCATTCAAGTTGTTGTAAGTCAAATCAAGGACCTCAAGAGCTGGGAGAGAGCCAAATCCTCGAGGCAAAGTGTTTAGTCTATTCATGCTGTGGTTGGAGGGGGAAAAAAAAATCCAAGACGTCACACAGAAAACATATGTTCAGACAATACTCACATCACCTCTGTGTCACAAGCCTAAGAGGCGTGTATGAGGACTGAAGCTCAGAAGAGGCCATAATTCTGCAATAACACTTTATGTTCTTTTAATCAGCACAGTAATTGTAGTCGGAGAATCTCGATGGTCATGGAACGTTTGAAAACGTCTTCTCATTTTCTGCAGTGGTGATGCTCAGTCACTGTGGTACACAGAAACCTCAATCACAGCAAAGTGTCTGTCCTTCTAGAGAAAAACTTCCTCACGCATGTAGCAATAATACCTCATCAAAAGATATAGAGTAAGCTTTGCAGTTTTTAGACTGTTGGCTTTATTTCATCTATTCCTCCCAAAGGAAGAAAAAAAAATCACTTATTTTTTGTCCTGCAACTAACATTCAAAATGATCTCCACAATGGTGGCTGCCAGGGCCTGAGGGAGGGGGAAATGAGTTGTTGTTGTTTAATGGATGTAGAGTTTTGGTTTTGCACAAGAAACTTCTGGAGACGGGCTACACAACAATGTGAATATACTTAATGCTACAGAATCAGCGGTTATGGTGGTAAATTTTACGTCAGTTGTATTTCACAATAACTGGAAATAAAATATATATACATACCTCCAATGAAATATAAGGAAAATATATTTTCTATTACTTTCTTATTTTAAGACCCTTCTTAATGTAATAGAAGGTCTTATTCTAAGACCTTTTGAGCATACTTAAAAAAGGATTAAAAAAAAGGTTTTTTTAAATCTAATAGAACCTGGCAGATATTGAAAGGTCGGAGGGACTGTGAGGCTAAAATAATTCTGAGACCTCAAGCATTCTCTTACTAGATGCAATCCTGTCCACACCTGCCAACCACGCACCAGCTGGGCTGCACAAGAGTGAGCTAATGGCACAAGGAGAAACTGAGAGAAAAGTAATTTCTACCCCCTGGGTAGAAAAGTCATTGCTTACCTTTACACTGAATAAAATAACCTCCATGACCATTTGCTGTAATGACAACAACTGGTATTTTCTACCAATTTACAATCTGTGAAGCATATTTATATCAAGTATTCACTGGAATCACCAAAACTATGACATAATACAGGCAGGACAACGCTTCCAATGAAGCTGATGTGAATGAAGTAACAAGGATTTCGAACTCACCTGAAGAGGGTGACAGATGTCTGAGAGCACCTGGCACCTCACAGAGGCAAAGGCACCCTGATCCCAAGACTCTAATGCAAGGTGCTGAGTAAGTTGAAAGAAAAATCACAGGGCACCTGTGTGGCTCTGTGGTTGAGCATCTGCCTTTAGCTCAGGTCGTGATCCTGGAGTCCTGGGATCAAGTCCCACATCAGGCTCCCCACATGGAGCCTGCTTCTCCCTCTGCCTAGGTTTTTGCCTCTCTGTCTCTCATGAATAAATAAATAAAATCTTCAAAAAAAATCAGAACTAGTGGGAAAAGCACATTAGTTTCTTTCTTTAAACATTGCTCTAGGGCAGCCTGGGTGGCTCAGCAGTTTAGCGCCGCCTTTGGTACAGCGCATGGTCCTGGAGACCCAGGATCGAGTCCCACGTCAGGCTCCCTGCACGGAGCCTGCTTCTCCCTCTGCCTGTGTCTCTGCGCCTCTCTCTCTCTCTCTCTCTCTCTGTCTCTCATGAATAAAATCTTTTAAAAAATAAAAAATAAACATTGCTCTAAGTTACCCATTTTTGAAAATCACCACTGAAGTTTTTCTTTCCAAACACGGTAGGAGACTTTTGAAAGGTAAGGTGCAGGAAAGCCTGGGTGAGCCCTCCTTTGGAGGGAAGAGGCATCTCACACGAGAGGGAGCGCTTCCAGCCCACCTCCAGCCCAGAGTGAGCCTGACAGTGTCCACCTCCTGGTGGCAAGAACCTCCCAAACTGAAAGTTCTTTTTCTCAAGTGAGAAACCAATACTCCCCAAAATGTCAAGAACGCTGCAGAGCCCCCGCCCCCCGCCCCCCCCCCCCCCCCGCCACCATGCAGCTGACAGCAGTGACAGCAGGAAGCCCTCACAACAGAGGGACCAGACGTAGTGCTGGCTGTGGACCAAGCCAAGAGCAGCAGGGACTACAGGCCGCTTCCCTGGACACCAGCAACTGTGGGGTCACCTGTGGGGTCTGCACCTGTGGGACGGCTGCTCCTGGGGCTCCTCCGAGAGCGCCGGCCCTCTAGAGCCAGATTAGATGAGCGGTCCGGCTCCTGTGCCGCTGGCTGGGTGACCATGGGCAAGCGGTCTGCTTCTGAGACCCAGTTCCCTCAACGGCAAAATAAGGACAGTGACACTTTCCTAGCAGGACCGGCAGGAGGATGACAGCTGAAAAATCTGAAGCATGTAGTTAAGATCTGTGGCTCACCGATGGTTCTCCAGCAATGAGAGTTATAACTACAGATATTTCTCAGGAAGTGATTGGGAAAGATTGTGCCTCCGCCTCAAGCAGGTAAGCGTCCCCTGTGAGAAGAGAAGACCACTGTGGGCAGCCTGAATTACCAAGTGCAGTTTCCTGTTTGTGTCCTGCCAGTTGGCCCTCACATCACTTCCAGGGTTCACAAAGTTGCTTTTGTGCCACAGTGGTATAAATTCTTTCACCTGCCTCTGAACATTTTTCTAGGGTGTTCTGGAAATGGGAAAGTGCCTGCGTATGACATAGAAATTTATAAAACCAGAGAGTTAAAGGCTGATCAGCATCTTTTTTCTTTTTCAAAAGCTAGGAAGGCCCTTATTTAATGCCTCCCTTCTGGAACGTTCTGATCTCCAGAGGTCCTTCTTGTTTCAATAAAACCATCTTTGCTAAAGTTAACAATTTTTCTCACACCCGGAGTGACCTGCTCACACTCTTAGCCAAACACAAAACAAAACAAAACAAAACAAAAAAACCCACAAAACATTCTTGAAAATTCAACACTGTACTTTGTGAAAACTCAATTTCACGAGATGAGCTCTAGCATCTCAATGGATTAAAGATTATTACAGAGGAGCTAGCCATGGTGCTACTGCAGTCAGATTATCCCAGAAATAATCACCAACAAGGAGCCAATGTGGTTTTACATTTTGTGGAGATGAATTCCATAAAATGAACCACATTTAAAGTATTAAAAACATCATGCAAACTTACTTATTCCAGTGGCCTAAAAATCCTTTCAGGTTTTCCCATCATGAGAATAAACAGCAAATACCACATAAAACTTTAAAAGCAACTTCTGATTGAGCATGCTGTTTGGAATCTGCCTATGTGTGGCCTCAATGTTCCATGTAAACAGAACATTTTTAATTTAATTTTTATTTTAATTCCAGTATACTTAATATCCAGTGTTATATTAGTTTCAGGTATGCAATATAGTGATTCAACAGTTCCACACATCACCCTGTGCCCATCACATGTGCACTCCTTAATCCTCACCACCTGTTTCACCCATCCCATCCCCCCCACTCACCACCCACCTCTCCTCTGGTAACCATCTGTTTGTTCTCTACACTGAAGAGTCTGTTTCTTGGTTGGTCTCGGTTTTTCTTTGTTCATTTGTTTGTTTCTTAAATTCCACGAGTGAAATCATACAGTATTTGTCTTTCTCTGACAGACTTATATCACTTAGCATTATACTCTCTAGATCCATCCATGTTGTTGCAAATGGTAAGATTTTATTCTTCTTTATGGCTGAGAAATATTCTATTGCATGCACGCACACACACACACACACACACACACACGCACACCACTTACTCTTCGTTCACTCATTCATCTACTGAGGAGGCTTGAGTTGCTTCCATAATTTGGCTATGATAAATAATGCTGCAATAAATATAGGGGCACATATTATCTTTTCAAATTAGTGTTTTAGTTTTCTTTGGGTAAATACCAGTAGTGAGATTCCTGGATCATAGTATAGCTCTATTTTTAACTTTTCGAGGAACTTCCATATTGTTTTCCACAGTGGCTGCACCAGTCTGCATTCCCACCAACAGTGCACGAGGGAGGGTCTTTTTTTTCCCACTTCTTCACCAACACTTTTGTTTCTTGTTTTTTACGTTAGCCATTTTAACAGGTGTGAGATGATACCTCACTGTGATTTTGATTTGCATTTCCCTGATGATAAATGATGCTGAGCATCTTTTCATGTGTCTGTTGGCCATCTAGATGTCTTCTTTGAAGAAATGTCTTCACATTTCACGAAGAATGTTCGTGTCTTCTGCTTACTTAATTGATTATTCGGTTTTTTGGTGTTGAGTTTTTGGTTTTTCAGTATCTCCCATGCGTATAATTTTTATCTGAGCTGCTTACTCTGAGGAGTCCACTATGATAGGCCTTAAACAGGGCTATGTAGGTATAATTCTTGATGCCATTTGAGAACAGAAATATCCTTTACTGAAACTCATATTAATTCCTCTCCCAGAGAACTAAGAATTTTTGTTCAAACTTTGACAACCCCACCTATGTGGCTATATAAGTAAATATAGAAAGCTTTACATAATCAATAGAATACCGAGAGCCAAAAAATGCGAATGGCTCCGAAGAAAGACAGAACTAAGATGCTTTTGATTAAAATAAAAAACACCTTATAACTCTGTCCTAAGGTACCTCCAACACATCCTGACCTCTAGCTCTACCTACCCTAATCTCCCCTCTACATGACCTTTCACACAAAAAAAAACAACTTTTTCTCATACCTGCTAGTTGGTTGTAAAAACTCCTCACTGGTCAGCAAGATAAAACCAGGGCTCCTTCACTTGGCACACAGGGCCCTTCACTGCTTCCCTGCCATTACAGACATTTGTTTAACATCTGTTTCCCCAACTGTGACATACACGCCATAGAGACTAGATGGCTACTACCTAGGCCAGCACTTGGCACACAACTGGGAGGGCAGGAAGTACCCAGTAAATAAACACTGACAGCCGTACTTCTTTGTCAGGCCTCACCTCTTACCTTACTGCTCCCTGCCTCACACTTTACACTCAGTGACACTCAACAACTAGCAATTCCTGGAACCTGTGGTACTCTGAGCTTTTCATTCATTCATGTCATTCCCACAGGCCTTCCCTCCTCCTTCTGAGGAGAAATTTGTTTTCTGTGTCAGGTTTCGGCTCGAACACTGCCCTCTGTAGGAAACCTCCAGAGAACCTCACCTGTTGACTAATGAACGCTCTAGTCTCTGTCTCCACTGCCTTCAATGGCCCAGCCATTTGCAGTCAGTGCTCCTTTACCGCTAGCTCTTGCCCCAATACTTAAGGCCAGGGACTGCCATTTTCACCACTGAGCCCCAACACAAGCAAGGTTCCTGACACAGATCATGCACTTACACAGTCACGAAATAAATCAAGTAAAACGATGATGATGGTGTAGTGGTGGTGGTAAGAGCTACTCTGTACATACTGCTTACTACACGCTGCCACATACAGCTCCTAGCGCCTTGTATATAAATAACTTGTTAAACACATGAATCAACAAATTAACAGTAAGAATGTATCAAGCTTTTGTTAAAAAAGATCTTATTTATTTGAGAGAGTTAGAGTGCGCTTGAGGAGCACAAGGGAGGGCAGAGGGAGAGGGAGAAGCAGACTCCCCGCTGAGCAGGGAGCCTGACTCCGGGTTCCATCCTAGGACCCTGAGATCATGACCTGAACCAAAGGCAGACGCTTCACCGACTGAGCCACCCAGAAGCCCCAAGAGTGTATCGAGTTTTGTACGTCTAATATATACATCTAGTTTTAGCTTCTGGCTTACACACAAATTAAGCATTAGGAACTTAATAATTTTCAAAACAAAGATATAAATGAAGGATCCTTTCTTTTCTGCTTTGCCAAATGGATGTACAATCTCAATATCTGTAGGGGGATAAAAGCCATCTGATTTAAGTGATGTCTCCCCTCCTTCTGGAAGCTCTACTTCCCCTACTTCCCCCTCAGACATGAGGAAAAAGAATGCTCATGGATCTTTCCAAGATTATCTCTTAACCAGAGTGAACGTAAAATGAGTGTCTAATCAAACTCCCTGTGGAAAGAATGAGCTCAACTACAAATCATTCCATGAATAAGGGTTTTTTTTTTTTTTCATGATTGCTTCCTATTAAATTGATAAATACCTGGCCGGCTTCTATCACTACTCCATGTAAATCACTAACTAAACTAGAGCATTTAATGGCTATAATTTAATGAACAGATGACTTCACACAGCAGATGAAGCATGAGTGGGAAGCTCCATCTAACAGCAACAACAGTGAAGCTGGAATTCAGAAGCTCAAGTTCTGGTAGCATCAATGGTGCCTGACAGACGGCTGTGAACCTCAGGAAATGAGGTTCTCTGCCTAGCTCGGTCACCACCCTTAGGGCAACTGAAGCTCTCAGAAAGGGCTCAGCTTCCACTCCACGACATGAGAGCAATACTGCCCGCCCGCCCTCCCTCATAATCGTCAAGAGGATCAAATACTAGCATGAGGCCTCTGAAAACTATAGAGCAATACACGGTATTATTATTATTATTCACTGCTGCCGTTCCTGCCACCTCAGCTGAATCAAACCTCCTCTCTTCACCTCCACATGAAGAAAGACAGAGGATTATAACCTCTCGAATATATAAAAGAATTTTAAGAATCAATGAAGTAGTGTTTGGAAATGTATCCCCCACTCACCTTCCATAGAAGGAAGGTGCTTTGTAAAGGATTACTACTTAATACAGAGAGAAAAATCAATCATATTACAACTGGTCTGGGCAGTTAATGCTATGCAAGAAAGTCCCTTCCTGGTTAACATTAACTGGAATAAAATTTTGTTGGAAACAAAATATGATTTAAAAAAATCGCTTATTGTATGAACAATTAGCTTTTAAATTACTTCTTAAATTGATATCCACTAATGCAGGCCATTGAGAAGAGGTATTGAAACAATAAAAGTTTTGTTAAAAACCTATAAAAGAGAAAGGAACTGGAGGTCAGGGCCCCCTATGTGATAGTATAACGCACTCCCTCCCGTATCCAGAGCCTGCCCACCCCGCCACTCCCTCCTTGCCAATACTCACCCCAGGTTCAGGTGTTTGAGCTTTTGAAGGCTGCTGATCTGTGTGGGCAGCTCCTCAATCTGGTTATTAAAAAAGTTAAGCACTTCCAAATTCTTCAGCTCTGCTATGTTTGGTGGCACAGCTACGGAAACAAAATTGCTGAGTGTGAATACAGGAACCCCGCTCCTCGCAAGGAATGCCAGCAACACATTTTGTTTTTCTTTCTCAGGAAAGAGAGATGAAACTCGAATATGACCATCTGATTCACATATACATCTTATTTTTTGTAAGTTTTTCTTAGGTTAGTAACTCAGTAGAGTAAAAATGAAAATGTTTCTTCAAAGGGCAAAAGAGAATTTCAGGGTGCCATAAACAGTGTGTTGGTGAATATTTCCAAGCATAAATGCTTTTATAATTGTCATACAATGTCTCATAAGCATGACGGTTTTCTTTCTCTTGGTTTTTTTGCACCTCCACCCAAAGAAAGACTGCAAACTCCACATCCTTCCAGGGTAATGATACATTCGTCAAGCTGTTTCAATAGTCTGATATCTGAAGAGCAGTTCTCTTAACACCACCACACTAAATCACAATGTAAGTTCAACCTTAAGTGATGAAATATTCAACCTACCTCATTTATGATTTTTGGCTTCTGGCCTTTACATCTTGATCAACACACACACACACACACACACACACACACACAGCATTTAAGTCAGATTGGCAACAGATCAATGCATTGTTATTACATAGAAATATGAAAAACCAACTCAGTAGCATGATGTGAATACCAGCATGCAGATCAAAGGTTAAAATAAGCCAGTGTGGGCCTAAAAGAATTTTCCTTCTGTGGAATATATCCTTACAAATATCAATATAAAAGCCAATGGCATCTTTAGCTCACAAGTACTAACTCTCCAGTGGTGGCAGAAAGACTTTCAAAAGGAGGGTAGTTTATCTGTCCCCATCATTGATTCAGTCTTCTACAAACACTTGTTATTGGCCATCAGCTTGTCCATGGTTCACATCAATTCTAACACCAAGCCTACTCAGGATACTGACCCCACTGACCTGGGCCCTGGGTACAGCATAAGAAAGTGTCGTGTCATGCCTTCTGTGAGTACATTCACTTCTGGTCCCAACAGCACCCTCTGGGGAGTATTCCAGAAGACTGGAAAAAACCGGGAGCACCTCTGCTTAGAGCCACTACATAGGTATGTGTAAAATTCCAAACAGACATCTAAAATATTTCAGGAGGTAGCCATTGCAAGAACTCCCTTCCAGACAGAAGAGGACAGGCACATTGCTCATTACAGTTCTGAGTCCTCAATTTCAGCTTTCTAAAATGTCTGAGGTATCGGTGACCTGACTTCTTTTAGAGGGAAGGCGGCTTGGTTAAAAGGCAAGGGAAATGCTTTCGCTGGAGGAAGGGACTGTGAAGAATATGAATCAGTCTGGATTCAGACACTTGGGAGGTGGCAGTGGTCCAGATGGAAAATGAGCAAGGCGTGGATTAGTTACTCAAGAGGCTGGATTGGGACTGGAGATAAAAGGATAGGTTTTAATGGGAAATGAAGGCAGCTGGAAATTACCTTCTGAAACTGTACTCTTGGATACCAATACGAATGCATATGAGCCCTACCTGCACAATTTGGCCTTAAAAGCACACTCATAGGTGTGTAGTCAGTAACACACTTTCCAGCAAATGAACGGTATTCACTATGGGTAAATGGTCACAAAGAAATTCATCGGGTCTGCTGAGTCTCAGGGTGTTGTCAGCTTACCTGTTTGTTCTCTCCCTAGAACACCAAGTGGTTGAAGCACAGCTCTACAGACAAGGACAAGCCTGCTCGGGGGGCCTCACCCCCTTCCCCCTGTTCCCCCTCCAGCTACCACTAAGCATCTCTCACGGCATTCATCTGATTACTTTGAAGAGCAATAAAGAAAGTTAGTGCAACCAGGAGAAAATGATGATCTCAATTTAGCCACAAACCAAGAATAATGCAGCCAGAATTACTGCTGCCTTCCCAAAGTTACTTCGCCAATGCAATTAAATGCTGGTCTGAAGGTATCGCCTTTTTGACAGGATGAGAGATTATTTCACTCTCCTTGCTAAATCAGTCCAATTTAAAACCACAAATTATGCTAAATGTGATTTAGGGCTTTGTTTTGTGGACACAAACAATAACCCTACATTCAATTTACTAAACCTCTCCCAGCCTTCCACGTGCATGTGAATTTTGTGTTGAAGACTCTACTCAAGCTACAAGGGGAAAATATTACCCAGCTAATATTCTCTCTCAACAATTCCCCCCACCTGGCCATAGTAAAAATCAGAAGCAATTAACATTCAGACCTGGCCAGATGGGATAACATTCACTCTTTCAACCAATATTTGGAGAATGGTTACGATGTGTGCAAAGCCACACTTTTAACACTCAACATTTCAATTCTTCTGGGATGAAGTAAGAAAGGCAAGCTATCTCAACAAAGTAAGTTACGAAAGAAAGAGTATCAAAGTCAATAAATGAAAACAGGTCTAGTGTTTCGTAAACAAACTAATTCAAATAAAACTGTCCATAAACAACATTATATGGTCTCATTCATTTGGGGAATATAAATAATAGTGAAAGGGAATAAAGGGGAAAGGAGGAAAAATAGGTGGGAAATATCAGAAAGGGAGACAGAACATGGAAGACTCCTAACTCTGGGAAACGAACTAGGGGTGGTGGAAGGGGAGGTGGGTGGGGGGTGGGGGTGACTGGGTGGCAGGCATTGAGGTGGACACTTGACGGGATCAAGCACTGGGTGTTATTCTGTATGTTGGCAAATTGAACACCAATAAAAAATAAATTTATTATTTAAAAAAAACTGTCCATAAAAAAGTATCCAGTTAACAATATGAGCTGTGCAATAATGAAATTATATACAGATATGACATGAACAAATTCAGCTGCTATGGAAAAAACGGAGCAATATGTCCCCAGTCAGAATACTCTGGTGAAATTTTTCAAGATCTCTGTGTGACGCATTTGCATGAAGTATTTTAAAACACAACTGAACAGTCAGCATCGAGATATTTCTTATTATGCCTCTGCAGCATGCCTTTTCATCAATCAGTCCTGTTTGTGACCGTGACCCCAGCTGTATACACACAGGCTACAGATAACAAGGAGCTGAGCACTCAAGGGAAACGGGAGGGCAGTGTAGGGTGTGGACACGAGGATCCGGGCTGTACCAGGACCGTTCAGAGTTCGCTTCCACCTGGCTTTGACATTCTGCGATTCTCACAAGAGCTGGATGACGGAAATCAATGAAATGGATTTAAATAATGCAACAAATGGGGCCCTCAATTAGGAAGCTCAGTCATGTAGAACTTTGCTTATGACAGAGAATTTAGTATCATTTTCTGTCAAAAGCGACAGCTTTAATTTTGAGACTCCAGTTGCTACTGTTGAGAGAAAGGTCCCCAACCACTCTCAGGTGTTCTCTGGCTCCTCGATGCCACATTCTGCTTTCATCACAGGATCAGATGACCACCGGGAACACTCTTGTCCAGAGCAAAGGTGACGAAGATGTGGTCCTGCCACCAGAGGAGCTACAGCCAGAGACTGGTCTCAAGTTGTCTTCAAGCAGTTACAACTGTTCAGCTGGACACACCCAGCAGGACCCTCTTTCCCTCCAAGGCCTCCTAAGTCTACAGCCGGAATGTTCTTCTAGTTTCATGTGAGAAGCACGCGCCAGCCAGATTAAGCAATCAGCCCTTGCAGGTTTGGGACGGCCCCACAATCAGCAGCCCAAGTCCCTGGGCAGGCTCACAAGTCTGGGCCAGAAGGGGCCTTGCCTGATGTCCTACATTAGCAACCGTTGGAAAGCTCCCTCAAGCAGGGAGCCTCAGAAAGCACTTGCTGGACACGCTGGATAGACCAGAGCACTCCAACTGTGTGAAACAGCCGACCCGGTAGCTAACAACAGTCACCTGCCTCCCCGAACAGAAAAACCTCAGTAAACTATTGTTACGGCAACCAGACCTTCACTTTAGGAGCATTTTGTTTTGGGATAGAAAATTAACAATTCCACAACCAATAATTTATTTTTAAAAGCCTTTTAGTTTATCCACACAAAAGTAAATAGCAGAGTATGCTCTGGAGCTGGGCTTTCCAACGTGCAATCACTATGGAAAATAGTATAGAGGTTCCTCAAAAAATTAAAACTAGAACTACTGGATGACCCAGCAATTCCACTACTGGGTATTTATCCAAAGGAAATGAAATCACGGTCTCCAAGAAACATCTGCACCCATGTTCACTGCAACCTTATTCGCAATAGCCAAGACACAGAAGCAATGTTAAGTGTCCACCAACGGATGGACAAGGGCAATGTGGTAATGTATTTACAGAGGAATACTACTCATCCATAAAAAAGGAAACCTTGTTTACAACACGGATGGATCTTGAAAGCATTATGCTAAATGAATTAAGTCAGACGGAAAAAGACAAAACCTGTATAATCTCACTTAAATGTGGAAGCTTAAAATACACACACACACACACAAATTCAGAACACAAGATTAGATTTATGATTACCAGAGGTGGAGGACACAGGATGAGGGAACTAGATGAAAGTATTAAGACAGAAAAAGGAGAAAAAGGAAATAAATTTAAATCTAGATTAGTTGAAATTAAGTAAAGTTAATAAATCAGTCTCTTGGTCACACAAACCACATTGCAAGTAGCTAGTGCCTACCATACTGGACAGCACAGAGAGAACATTCCCTTCAGTGCGGAGAATTCTAGATAGTGCCGCTCTAGGGCAGAAGGCTCACAAACTTTATGGAGTATATCAGAATTACTGAAAGGCTTGTCAAAACATGGACTGGGGGGCATGTACCTCAGAGTTTCAGATTCAGTAGGTTTGAGATGGGGCTTGGTGAGATTCCGCATTTCCAAGTTCCCAGGGGATACTGATGCCGCTGATCTGGAGATCATTTTGGTGCAGAAAACTTTTAATTTGGTGGTGACATCAAAATCATTAATCTAATACATTTGTCCCTTACCCCACACAATAATGCTAAGATCCAAATTAAGACTTCTATGGCCCTCAATAAGTTGAGACTTGAGGTTGATGAAAAGAGGGCAAAAA